GGAAATCTGTCACATTATATTCTTTTCTTAGATACTGGAAAATGGCTGTTTTCTAAGCTACCTACTAGCTACCTATAAACGATAGATACACAGAACAAGCATTACAAATTCTAGAACTATTTGGGACGGGGGCAAGGATTCACACTCACAAGGCTGGAACCCTAGACTGGAGCCAACCGACTTGATATTTACAAGAAGTCTTACCAGGGGAGCCGTAGCTTGTTAGCAACAAGCCATCACATTTAACAATCGAAGAATCGAAACTAATATAGATGATTTTTCTTCCCTCATTGTCTTACTCTAGGCATCATGCATGACACTGGCTGAATAGTGATCAATTCCCATAACATACTAAATCTAAAACTCTTTCACTGTCTATGAATGAAGCTCAAATAGGAATAAATACAAACACTTCCTCTTCCAATGAAGCAAACCCCTTTGTTTCCCTACTATCATATATATAGAAAAAATTTAAACATACCTAATTAAAATCCACATCACAAGCTATAAAAAAAATAGTAAGATGTCTCCTTCAATTTAAAAAGGGGTATTTGCTCAAATGGAAGCAAACCCGCCATAGTGACTAAGAAGCAAAAATAGCACAGTGAAGCAGCAGCATGCAGCAAACTTGAATGAAAAATCGCCAAATTTAGACACTTGTTTCCCCAAAACTAGCAGGTAAAACAAAGAATCTAAAGATGCAAATGATGCTGACAAGGAAGGTGCTTGCATGATCCAAAGAAAAACTGGAGAAACGAGTTAAAAGGATGATGATGATGATAGAGCAAATAAATACCTGGAGAAAAGAAAAAGGAACTCTGGGAGTAAAGGATAAAGAAGTCAAGTGTGTCACAGTTCTCCTCGCTGCCCTCTGCTAGATTCAAGACCAACCTCCCCTCACACCCACTACTCACTGTTCTTCTGGCCGCAAATATTTTACCTTTCGGTCCAGAACTATTATTTTAACGTGGGGTTAATTTCTCTAGGAATAATTTTATTATTACACATATTTTAAATTGGTCTATAAACTTTAAAATGTTCTTATTAAATCCTAAAATATCAATATTGAATCAACTAGTTTCTTTAATTAGCTTAGCTATCGGCTTAGATGTTAAATATTGATTCAAACCTAATATCTGAAATATGTAAAACAATTTCTAAAAGGAATATGTGATTATTGAATATAGAATATTAAAAGGAAAAAATTATCTGACTAATTTTTTAAAATATATATTTCTTTAAACACGTTTATGTTTGACCATCTAATATATTTATTTTAAATACTATCCACATCACATCTCAATTTATTTAAGACTGTAATGAGAATATATTAAAATTTAAGATGAGTTTAAAATTTGGACAATAGTTTAGGGTATCTTTGACTAATTATATCATTTGTGCGAATGATTTCGTGCAACAATAAGCATAATGGATGCAACGTGAATCTTGCTTTCCGTGACAAATATACCCACTGTATATATTATTAAAATTTAAGATAATTATAATCACTCTCTCGTACAAATATGGCTCTTCCACGAAATATTTACCCACGGAAATATTAAATAAAGTATATATTTTTAGTTTTTTGATCAGATGAACTTGGTCAGTTAAATTATAAATCGTATTATTTAATATTCTTTGGAGTTCATTTTATACAAATCAACAATCAAATGCATAGTCTTTAGGCAAAATATGTCAATTAACAAGTTATTGTCCTACGCTTATTAACACAATTGCAAGTGTTTTGTAGCTGGGGAGGGGTTTTGTTCGTTTCAAATTAAGAGAGGCTAAAACTGTTGTGTAGTTTTTATTCCAAATGAGTTTTACTTCTCCATTCAAAACCAAAGCATGCCTTAAATTTCTTTTAAAAAACATAATTTAAATTTTATTTGATTTTACGACTTGTCTGATCTTGTGAAGAAATAAATTAAAAGAAAAGTATCTTAGACTGCATTACATGCATGTTTAAGTTTTAGAATGAGTCTCCTATATTCATTATTATGCTTAACCCCTCAATTTGTTAATAGAATACTAAACTATAGATAATCAATTAATTGCACTTAGCAGCAGGCAGAAAACCACAGTGAATAGTTTCGACAACATTCCATTACCAGCCAGATTACGAGAGTATTCTTGTACGTTCTAACCAGCATCCTCTCCCCCATAGTTCACACCGACACAGTTTTGTCTGAACCAGGCAACTTTTTTGCATTCTCTTGCACTCAAAACACTCACCTTGATCTTGACGAGGAATCAAATCTCCAATGAATCAGTTCATACTTAGAATCGATCTGTAATATACTAGTGATAGAAATTATAGTTTCTTTTTTTATTAAATTGGAGTATGTATAAAGTTATATCTTTTTAGAGATAATTCTCAATCATTTGACATTGAACGTTGGTATTTTTAGTGTTTAAAACCGAGACTTCAATGAATAACAACAATTCTCTTATCGCTGAGGTCGCTCGATTTGTGTAGAAATTATAATTTCATTTTTTTTAAATTCGACCCTTGCTTGCTTATATATTACGTCTTTAAAGGTCTGATTGAGACGATAAAACTATACAACCACAGCCAGAAACAACTACGAAAAGCCAGGAGTCACATTAATGCATGTGGAAGGAGGGACCAACTAATGGTGACAACTAACCTAATCGATGTTATTTGCTTGAAATATCTAATAAACAACACACCATCATCTCTTCTTAATAAACATCCGATAATTGGATTTGTCAATTCCCATGTCCATTTAAAAGCATATTTGTTGTGACGTACCACGTCACAAAACCTTTGTCGTCTCGTCTCAACACCAATTTTGACATCGCTACTACTCCTGCATATATTTATATGCCTTTGTTCAATGTTTGTGTTGATATGTATTTTGTCTCTTACATATACAATAGTATTGGATTCAAATTTTATTTATCGACTGATTTTAGTTTGATTTTTGTATTAATCAAAACATAGCGACGGAATAAAGTTAAGTTTAATGTGAAATTTATTAAATGGTGCAAATTTTGTCAAAAGATAGGCCACCTTTTGGTTGAACTTTGTCATTTAGTCACCGCTCACTACTTACGAGTAAAGTTCAGAGTTTATATTTAAGGGTAAATTATTCATCATTTAACTATCTTTTTACTCCTATTTTGGTCACTAAATTTTAAAAAAATTCAATTTACTCACTCAACTGTCAAATTATTCCTGTTTTAGTCACTCTGTCATTAAATAATTAACGACGTTATAACATGATAACCGACGCCAAAACAAATTAGTCTTATATTTATATATAAAAAAAATTAAATATAAACCAAAATAACGTCCCTTTAGTCTAAATACAAAGTATTTTCTCTTTTTCTTTCTTCATTTTCTCTTGTTTCCTTCTCATTATTCTTCTTATTATTTATAAAAAATAATTCCAGATTTCATCTACCATGTCAATCGTCGTTCTAACCACCATCGTCAGAGTTCAATGACTCCTAAAATTTCACACCAAATGTGTCATACCATTCTGAAAGTGAATCTAATGTTTATTCAACTGAGAACACCCAAACTCCATAGATCTAACATTAATACCACTGCCGTCATACGCAACCATGCTCATTCGGTTACCATTCGCGTTGATTCATATATCAAATGAAACTTTTGCTTTCCCCTTTCAATCTTCGCTTTAGATCTTCATGAAACCAAACCAAAAACCATAAAAACTCGAACCAAATAGTTTCAATTTATACGCCTTTAATCATCAGATCATTATGTTATTTAGATTTATTGGTGATTACATGGCAATTCAATATTTAATTAAAAAATATCATGTCACCACAGTGTTAGAAAGAAAACAAGAGTGATTAATAAAGTTCAATGTTCAAAGTTAAGTGAGTAAATTGAAAGTGTTTAAACTCTAGTGATTAACATATAAGTGAGAAGATAATTGAGTGATGAAGGCTGGAGTTTACCCTATGTTTAATAAGAAATATTAAAGAAAACTATCAACACCCGTGTTTTCCACGCGAATAAGCTAAGCATTCGCTAAAGTCAACCCGCGAATCTAGAGGCTTAAAATTGTTTGACCAGAAATAAAATCACATAATATAGCCAAGCCGTCCAAGATTATTGTTTTATGCATTTTTAGCAACCTAATGCTATTATTTTAAGAATGATTTTTTAACGCTCAATGAGTACGGATAAATATTATTAACGATGAGTATCATTAATTTAATTTATTAAAATTTAATTATAAAAGACTCACATATAATTATAAATTAGAAAAAATGTATAGATAAATTATTTAAAATAAAAGATAAATTATACCAATAATCACTTAACTATTATCCATTTTCATCTATTAATATTGCTGGGTAGAATTTTTCTTATTTTAATCACCACTCTCATTTAATAATAATAAGAAATTCGGTGTACTAGAATTTCATGTACAAAATAAAGATTTATTTAAAAATATATATAAGTTAAAATTATATATTTTATTTTATTTAAATATTTAATATTTTATTTTATTATAACTTAAAATTCATCTATTGATATTTATTAAAATTTATAATTTGATGGATAGACCGAATAACAAAGATTAAATTTAAAAAAAAAACAATAATGAAAGAACTTCGTCACTAAACTTAACATAGATTTCTTTGAAATGGGCAGTGGTGAATTACGCAGGAAATCTCAGAAAAGCTAAAGATAATTATTAATATTTGTGAAAACACCGAAACACAAACTGCCGGTAGGGCGGTACACGTAGGTATATACCATCTTCATGATATATGACTCTAAATTATTTAATTAATCATAGAGATCAGCTCGATAACCGATAAACTCACAAATCACTGCTGCATAGATTGGATCCTTATTACAGTTTCATCCACAAAGGGCATCTTCTTAAAAAAGTTTGCTTTCGCTTTACTCATTTGTTTCTTTCAAAGCAGCTCTCTAACAAATTTGCTTCCGTAAGTAATGGGGGAGGTTCATCGTCTTCCTTCCTCGTTTCTCTAACGAAAACCTAGCTGTTCCTTTTTTTTTATTTTTTTTATTTTTAAGGTTGTTTTGATAGAGAGGTTGAAGTCGAATGGCGGTGGAGTACAGTTGTTGCGAGACCGGTTTCTTTATTCACATATTGGTGATTGTTTTGCTGGTGATGTTCGCCGGCTTGATGTCGGGCCTTACTTTGGGTCTTATGTCGATGAGTCTCGTTGATCTTGAGGTTCTCGCCAAGTCTGGGACTCCCAAGGATCGTAAACATGCTGGTAAACTTCTATGCTTCTTCATTTTCATCCGTTTCTACTGTGATTTAGCTTGCGTAAATAGCTTTGCTTTCTATGTTTTGCTTTGATTGAGCTAGGTTTCTTGTTAATTTAGCTTGTTCTTTGAATTTTATGGTTTTTTCTTTCGTTGGAAAATCAAATGAATGAAAGAACCCAGTCTATTAATATTAATTGATAAGGTCATACTGAGTAGTTCATGAAATGCAGCAAATTTGAACTTGAAGGATGACTTTAAAATTGCATGACAAAACTGGATTGTGCTTCTGAAATTAAGCGATGGTTATTGAAATTATTGTCAGATATTGCTGTACTCTGCATGTAAAATATTCGAATTAAAGGTTACACATGCTGATTTTATCCATTTTTGGAACAGAAAAAATATTGCCGGTTGTCAAAAAACAGCATTTGTTGCTTTGTACACTACTTATATGCAATGCTGCTGCGATGGAGGTATATGTTATACATACACCTTCGACCTGTCCTGTGATCTGGTTTCGTATGTTTGAAAACATTATTTAATGTTTGGAACTATTTTGTTATTTATATCAGGCACTTCCCATTTTTCTTGATGGTCTGGTCACAGCTTGGGGTGCTATCTTGATTTCAGTGACCTTGATTCTTCTGTTTGGTGAGGTGAGTATCCACCTTGGCTTATTTTATTTGAAGCGCTTTTGAACTCGGTAGAGCTAGAAATCCTTGTTAAACACTGACTATTTGCGATATGAAAATTTTGATATGTTACTTGGATATTATTTGCTAAACTTTTGGCTGAGCAGCTTTTTCCCAGAAGGTTGCAACCGTTGGTTTAAAAAATTGTTTTCCGACCATTATGGCTTTAGACTTGCTCTTAGAAAGTGAAATTACTTATAGCTGTTAAAAAAGGAATCGAGTTCTTTGAATGCCCTAAATCCTAATTGCAATTTAACTGTTTGTGCAGATAATACCACAATCTGTTTGTTCTCGATATGGTTTGGCAATCGGTGCAAAGGTAGCTCCATTCGTTCAAGTTCTTGTTTGGATCTGTTTTCCTGTTGCCTACCCAATAAGCAAGGTGATGAACGTTGCTAGTAATGCTTTTATGACAGTGAGAAAGACAACCAAGCATGTAATTCCTGCAGATTGCTCTTGTGGCTGACCTTCTCTGTTTTTTTTTCCAGCTGTTAGACTTTCTGTTGGGTCATGGACATGTAGCACTTTTTCGAAGAGCTGAGTTGAAAACCCTAGTAGATTTGCATGGAAACGAGGTTTGCATCCAAGCTTTTCCCTATATTTGTTTAAATTGCTTGTTTCTATAACTAGTTATTATCTTGGTTGTTTTTGTTTATCAAATCAATATTTGTTTTTGACCATTAATTAATCACTGTTGTACTTTCTAACTTCTCTCATTTTGAATTGTAAAATTCTTGATGTGTCTTTGCCTTTTGAAGTGCAATGCCTTCTTTCATTCATCATAACTTTCAGATTTACGATCCTTCTGTTGGACCTTTATTAGGCTGGCAAAGGTGGAGAGCTGACCCATGATGAGACAACAATTATAGCTGGAGCACTTGAGCTCACTGAGAAAAAAGCTAAAGATGCCATGACTCCCATATCTGAAACATTTGCAATTGATATTAATGCCAAGCTTGACAGGTATGGTTTTCTGTAAATTACCAAGAAAGATGGCATTTGAATATCTACTTCAATTTTGATTTGATTTTATAAACTACCATTACATGCTTGCTATGGGCAGGGAATTGATGAGTTTAATTTTGGAGAAAGGGCATAGCAGAGTTCCAGTTTATTATGAGCACCCTACAAACATTATTGGACTTATTCTGGTAATCATTTTTCTATGACTAAAATTAATATCATTTATGGTTTGCTGTGTGTTGTTCTTTAATTGTTTCCAACATATTTTACTCTCCTTCAAACTGCTCCTTTTAACATGAAATTTCTAACTGGATGATGCTCTATGACATGACGGGCTTTTTGGTTAACCCCTGTTAATGGTTGCATGAATCATTAATGCATCCCACCACCCTTGTACCTCCATTTCTCTTAAGATTTTCCCTCAAGAACTTATTATCTGGTGGTGCATTTAGTTCGAGTACCCTTCTGAACATTTATATATATATATATATATATTACATTTTTGGCATTTCCCTATTCCTTAAGCTTTACATTTAATTGTGTTTTCATGGAACACTGCTTATCTTTTAATCATACAGGTCAAAAATTTATTGACAGTTCATCCTGAAGATGAAGTGCCTGTTAAGAGTGTCACTATACGAAGGATTCCAAGGTATCTTATAGTAAATCTACTCTAAAAGAAATGGACAACTTGTATTTGTGTTGTTCTGCAAAGAATTCACTCTCTACACTACACTCGTTGGTTGATCTTATATTGTGTATGTATGTGCTTGTACAGGGTTCAAGAAACATTGCCATTGTATGATATATTAAATGAATTCCAAAAAGGTCATAGCCATATGGCTGTTGTTGTAAGACAGTGTAAAAAGACAGAGCAGCTATCTTCTAACGATTCTTCTGTGAGTAAGTATCGCCCAACATTCTCTCCGAATTTCCATTTGTTTCATTTAGCCTTCCATGGAAACTTGTTTTCTATATCTGTTTGATCCTCTCTCTTAAAATAGGCCCTTTGCCTGAAGTGAAAGTTGACATTGATGGTGAGAAACATCCACAAGATAACGCTTTACGACGTAAACGTTCACTTAAGAAGTGGAAGAGCTTTCCTGCTACACATAATTCTTTTAAAAGTGGTTCTCGGAGCAGGAAGTGGACAAAGGGTATGGATTCAGACATCCTACATTTAAATGACAACCCACTCCCCACGCTCCCCGAAGAAGAGGAGGCTGTTGGCATAATAACAATGGAAGATGTCATTGAAGAGCTTTTACAGGTACTTATCACAGTTATCCTGCTTTTAATTTCATTTCTGCGAGCCATTTCTCACATATTTGCCTTATGTGACATTGGCCAGGAGGAGATATTCGATGAGACGGACCATCATTACGAGGATTCATGACATTTGCCTCGCCTTGTTGGGTAATGAGTATTTGTTATTTCTCAACGTAGTGTAATTTGGTTTTTTAGAGCTTATTATAGGCACATGTGAGGCTGTACCAGTTGTATACAAAATGAATTAGGCAGTTGAGTGAAGCGAAACTATACTTTTGAACCATGTATGACAAAAAACAAGCAATCCATTTATAAATGTAAGGTTATTTAAAAACCAGAAGTTATTTGTGCTTGTACACGTACACTGAACCGAGAGGTTAACATCATATATATCAAATTTAAGTCCACACCTTTACAAATGCTCATTTTCATTATAGAACAAGGAACAACCCGTTTTTACAAAGCTACAACCGATCCAAATGGTACATAAATTAATTGATAAAACTAACTTATGTAAAACCTTTGTATACGCTAGTGATGCTTACTTCTTTTCTTGTCCTTCCTCTTCTTTTTCTTATCCATCGATTTTTCTTTAGCTTCGTGCTTCCTTTTAGGTTTCTTTTCTGAGCACTTAGGAGCCTTCTCTTTCTTCCGTCTATGTTCTCGAAGCTCCACATCAGAAGAAGATTCATCAGACCTCAATGAAGAAGGCTTCACGGGACCTAATGTGACAAGATGTCCCTCACAATAGGGTTTGTTAACACCATTTCTGGGGAATCAGAATTTGTGGGTAGGTAAGGTCCTGTTTCATCCATCCTTGAACCTAGAACCTCGACCACGCTTTACCCTAATAAAACAGGTTCCAGTCGGTCAATAAACCACTGATTTTCCTGCATAACAGTTTTTTGTTTCATATAAATGTGGGAAGATAAATAATAGCCGGATGCCGTACAAACCTTGACTGAAGAAATTTCTCAATATCTTCATCCCTTAGACCTTCATCTTCCCCCAAATAAGAACTCTCGTTCATTCTCTTGCTTGATGAGCATGAAGCACTCAAATCGCTCTCATGCTTTTTCACTGGTCTTTATGGATGAGTTTCTACTGTCCCTATAACTCCTGCTGTGCTTGGTATCATTTTCTGATCCTCCTTTTAGCCTATCATTTAGCTCCAGCTCCTTTTTTCTTGCTCGCCACATTTCATTCACTTCAACAGCTCGATTAGCTGAGAAAGAGGGGGAAAGAAACATGCATATACAACAAACACGGCAGAAGAAATTAAAGGGTGAGAGGGGGTAAATCAAAAGAATGTCAATATAACCCAAGATGCATAAGAATATCAATATATGTTATTGCTGCTCCAAAACTATCCAAATACAAGGCAGCAGAAATTGCAGGGTGAGAGGGGGTAAATCAAAATAATGTCATTTTATTTTCTACTTTTTACAGGATTCATATGCGCAATAATTGTACATTCGAAGGGCACCTAGGCAAAACACTAATTTATTTTAGGCATCAGGCATGTAAAAGCTCTTAGTTCTTCTCTCATATGTCCATATTGGAATTTATAAAACGAATCAGTTTCATTAGTAACCTCTAGAATTAGACAAGTATAGGTAGTGAGAACCCACTATCAAGTAAAACGCTTAAATCTAGAAGCATACAGAAGAAAATGCAAGCTTGATAAAACAAAATGATAACTAACTTGCTGTACACCGAGCACAGCTGCAGTGAGGAACCGTGAATTTGGCCGACCCCTTACTTTTGGCTGCTGAAAATAAACATGCACACCTTCCCTATCTGCTTGCCGCCTCAGTTCAGCTGCTTCTTTCAAGAGAATAGCAGCTATTCTGTTTTCAGTTTCCAGATCCATCTAAGCTGCAAAAGCATATTGAAAACCAGACGAGTTAACATATTACCCGTTGAAAACATGCATACTTCAAATTCAACAAAAGAAAATCTTTTGGCAACGGATGACTTTTACAAAACCCAACAAGTATTTATCCAGTTTTTCAAATAAGCACAAAAACCAAACAGAATCCATTCCAAAGCTACGATCAAATATAAACAAAAATCAAATTTATTTATCGAAGGCGTAGTTCAACTCATTTGACCGTATCCACATGCATCGGCACATCAAAAGAATATCCCTTTTCATTATCCTTAAACCCCCAAGGAAAAACCAGCAGTTCAAATCGAAAAAAATTCCACAGAGAAATTAGAAATTCGATTTCTCACAGACGATTTAAACAGTAAGATTTCTCCACAAAATAAAATCCAGAATAAGAAAAAGAGAAACTTTACCCAATCACTTGACGGACTGATGCAATCCTAAAGTAACAGCCCGAATAAATTGAAACAATCACACCTTTTCTCCTTCGGTATCGAAAACCGTAATCCTAAGATTTATTCTAATTGAGAGGAGGCTTTTCCACTTTTCCTAAATATACTCCTCATTTTAAAATTAACGCGTAAATGTTATTGCCCTTCCATTCGCGTGGAACGGTGTCTGCCACGTCGGATAATAACAAGACAAAGAGATGGATCCCAGTTCATGTGGGACAAGGTGACTGATTTTTTTATCCAAATATCATTATTTTCTCAAATTAATACCGATTTTTGATTTATTTCAAAATGATTTTTTTATTAACAGAATACTTGTAAGTTTTTTTAATAAGAGAAAATAATCAAGTGACCAAAAATCCTATATAATATACGATTTTAACCAATTTTTTCCGGATTTGCAAAATGACCAACAAAATCGCAATGCGATCGCTAATTCGCAACGCGATCTCCATTATCGCAAATTCGCGTTGCATTTCGCGTTGCGATAGTTGGAAATCGCGTTGCGATTGTCTACAGTGTCGTTGTGATTTTCCCAATTCGCAATGCGAATAAGTAAATCGGAACGCGAATTGGGAAAATCGCAACGCGATACTGACTATCGCAATGCGATACTGACTATCGCAATGCGATAATACAAAATCGCAACGAGATACTGACTTTCGCAACAAGATACTGACTTTCGCAACGCGATTCTGACTTTCGCAACGCGATAATACATAATCGCAATGCGATTTTCAAAGAGCCATTAGTATCCTGGCCAAGTATTTTATTTTTAAATTCCAAAAACGAATATTAATATATTTGAACACTGAACCGTCCACAGTATATCCCGTAATCGCAACTCATAACCTAAAATCACAACTCAGTCCCATCTCCATCTCTCACTCTCTCACCCATCTCCGACGAAATCTGTCCCCATCTCCGGCGAAATTCGTCTATCTCCATCTCTCAGAGCCACCCTCACAATCAGAAATGGAAAATCAACCAACGAGGGTTAGTTTTTTTAATTATTTTCTTTTTGAAATTTTTGCATTATTATTAGGTTTTTCATATTGAAATTGATGATAAGTTTACTGGTAATTTCAATAATAGATTAACCATTTCACTTAGATTGCTTATTAAATCAACCGAGAATCGCAACGCGAAATGAAAACCGCAACGCGATTTTAGTTTCGCGTTGCGATAGTCAAATTCGCGTTGCGATAGTCATTTTCGTGTTGCGATTTTCATTTTCAGAAACTATTCTTCTTCTGCAAATTGAAACTTGAATGAATTGCATTACTTCAACCAAAAAACAAAGACAAATACGAAATTCACAGTGTTGCAAATTTAAGTTTGAAGAATAAACTACTCTTATGTTTATTATTGTTTTTGGTATATCTTACATGTAGTTTTTGGTATATCTAACTTAGTATGTTTATTGTTTTTGTAGAACTTTTATTCGGCTCAATTGACCTTAAAAAATAAAGTCAGCCTGGCCAAAACAATTGCGTCGAAGCTTTCACCTGCAAAAAGAAAAATGTTTGAGGATACATGCTTCGGGCCATGGCTGAAAGTACAACATCCCGGTGGAGATGCGATGTTGACACACCTGTTTCTTCAAACCATGACTAGCGATCTACCAGAGATATACAACGTCGTGATGAAGAGATATGGTTTGATTTTCCACCGGCGTATACGTGTTTTGGGCGGGAGGAGTTTTGCTTAATCACCGGTCTACGCTTCGGACACGATGATGTAGGTCGGTACACTAGACACATTACCAGCCCATCATGGCTATCTTGGGTTTTTCCTGAGCTGGAGAGGCTGAGTCTACACGTAGAAGACCTGACAAGATTGTTGAATAAGAAAGATGGTTTTACTCGGATGGATGACGTCAACGTTGTCCGAGTATGCCTTCTAATTCTTTTGCATGCCGGCTTTTTAGGCAGAGAGGCCAGACAACCTATTCCAAATGATCTAATCAAATTGGTAGAAGACCTAAATGCGTGGAACCTGTTTCCGTGGGGCTCGTATTTATGGAAAGCTACATGGAATAAGTTATCGTCTGCCTTGGATGATCGAAAAAGTTTGCATGGCGATGGTTCCAAATACACTTTGACAGGCTTTATTTGGGCCTTTAAGGTAAGAATTCTTATATGATGTTTCCAAAATTATAAGTAATTATTTAACAATTACTAATGTTTGTTATTATATTGTTTGTAGATTTGGATATTTGAGGCCTTTCCCGCCATGAAGACATATGCAATAAAAACTTCAAATGATATTCCCAGGGCTATTTCCTGGAAGAGGAAACGGACCTTGCAATGAGAAGATTTACTACGGTATACGACAATAAATAATGTAAGTTAACATAAATACTACCATATGTTTATAAACAAGTTATTACTAGTACACGTTTAACTTTGTTTGAGCTTTTATATTGTTAGGAGGCCAACACTCCTCTACAGAGGCTGACACCCACGGAAGCTGAGCTTGCCACTGATTGGTGGCAAGCTAGTAAGCGTTTTTTTGATGAAACGGTTGATGAGCAGCCTCCACTTCGGGAGCCATCACCTCGCCCAGAGCTATCACCTTACCCAGAGCCATCATCTGATCGACCCGGCTATACACATCCACAACGACATCCATCACCTATTCTGTCACATCATCGAGCCTCTTCTCCACCATCACCGCAAGATAGCGACCGGCAAAGATGCCACGACGTTTATCTCCCTGTTCTCCACCTCCACCTCAACGGAATGAGTTAGGGGAGTTACGTGATGAGGTCAATGCCTTGCGTGAGGAGGTCGGTACTTTACGCAAAGACGATGGTGCATGGCGAGTTGAGGTGTCTACATTACGCGGTGAGGTAGCCGCTCTACGTGAGATTGTAGCATCGTTGCAGAATGAGGTTCATACTCTACGCAACGAGGTAAGTTTAAGATTTTTCATACTCATAATTCATTCGGTTGCTTCCAATACTACTAAACTGTTTTTGTTAGTATTGTTTTGTTTTTTTTGTCTTTT